AAATTCACTTTCTATACAGCAGTTCACATATACTTTGTCTCATGTCATTGACCACAGTTTACCACAATGCAACAGCTCCCTTCCCACTTCCTCCCCATAGTTACCTCTTCCCAGTGTCCATCCCTCCATACACTCCTGCCCCCTGAGCTGTCTCCCTGCGCATAATACATATATTATCTTAAAATGTTAAATTAACTATGATATTCTGGAAACACATTGCTATTAATCATTTTGGTCAGTTTTTTCCAGCTTTACTGATGTTTGCTGGGAAATACTTACAAAGGTTTTATCTGAAAAGTTGGTAATCTTAGTAATGCACAATTTTTGTTCTCATTATCTGGATAATACCAGGTTTAGCAGATTTTAACATCTTTTGCTTACTGTGAGTGTATTTAAAGTATTTAGTAACTTAGTTTTATAGATTACATATTTGTATTTTGAAAATTATACCATTTCTGAGTTTTCCAGAATGTTTGGTATTAAAGGCTTCACCTGTTAGGCTCCTGTTCTGGTTACCTGTTGTTGTTGTTTTTATGTGCCGTTGAGTCGGACCTGACTCATAGCGACCCCTCCTTGGGTTTCCGAGGCAGTATCACTACGGAAGTAGATTGCCCCATCTTCCTTCTGAGGAGCTCTAACAGAAATACCACAAATGTGATGGCCTTAACAAACAGGAGTTTATTCTCTTACAGTTTTTCTGGTCTCATATTCATATAGTCTGAGGATCTCATGGACTAATTGTTTCCATGCATCTTTGGTTTTCTATCTAAGTGTTCCCTCCCCTCCTCTCCCATCTCTTGTAACCAACAAAGAAAATTTCCTTCCATATGTAAACCTCTCCTTGATTTTTTACAATAATGGACTAATACAATATTTGTCCTGTGATTGACTTACTTTACTCAGCATAATGTCTTCCAAGTTCATCCACGTTATGTGGTGTTTTGAAGATTCTATGTTATTCTTTAGGGTTGCATAGTATTCCATTGTGTGTATGTACCATAGATTGGTTATCCATTCTTCTGCTGATGGGCACCTAGGTTGTTTCCATCTTTTTTGCTGTTGTAAATAGTGCTGTGATGAACATGGGTGTGCATATATCTGTTCTTGACCTGGCTCTCACTTCTTTAGGATATGTATACCTACTAATGGAATGGCTGGATCAAATGGTATTTCTAATTCCAACTTTTTAAGGGATTGCCATACTGGTTAAGCCAGTTTTTTAAAGTAACAAGTAGGTAAGACTGGCAATTTAGAAGAAATTTTGCATTGTGGCTGCTTTAGTTAACACCTTGATGTAATGTTGGTAAGGCTTAATTGCTTTTTAGTAGAATTTGTGTAGTAGAAAATGGAAATGAATTATTAGAAATATTTCTATGATTTTTCCCATTCTCATGGCCTGGCTCTTGTTCCTACATGAGGGCTCAGTATGGCATAATGAACACTAGCCATGGAGACCATTTCTCCCAAAGCATGACTTTAGAATTCTGTGATGGGAAATGAGAATTCTCATCACCAGTGGTTTATGTGACCTAGATTCTAAAACTAAATCCTAGGCCTGTCTTACATTTAGTGGGACCACTGGTGTAGAGATCTGTTTAGGCCATTGTTAATCTTGAGACGCCTGGATGAGGACCCCTTCTGCTCTGGCCATTCTGCCCTTGGAGCTTTTGATGCCTGGACCTCTTGTAGAATCCAACCTAGAACTTTGTAAAAGTACACAGGGGCTCCTTCCTCAAGGGCACATCTGTCCTAATACTTACCCTTGAATTTGAGTGCAAGAAACATTGACGAGATAAAAGAGCAACTAAAATGAAACTGTGACTCATCTCCCTCAACCAAAGAAGTTTTCCTATCGACTGATGCTTAAGAAACAAAAATATGTCTTAATTTTTATGTTAGGGAAAGTGCATTTACTTAGGAACTGCGGTTATAAAAGTATTAGCAAATGTAGCACCTTCTTGAAATTTTTACACCTCAAGGTCTGATGTGGGTGTTATACTTTCAAAAATTTCTCTAGAAAATGATTCTCTACAATGATCTTTATAGGTGACTCACAAATTACTCATCACTGTTTCATTTAATTTCAGCAATATGCTTCTCTTTAACAGAGAATATAATTACTATACCTTCTCATATGAAGAATGTGCTGCTTTCTTAATAGTTTAATTAGAGCAAGTTGTTTCATGAGATATTTAATGAAAAAGTGGCATCCCAGTTAAACAATTTAGGGAATTTAGCTTTAAGTAGAGTAGATTTATTAATAATACTTTTTTTTTTTTTTTTTGGTGTATAAACTACATATTGAATGTATAAAATAGTCCCTCTTTCCTTCCATCTCTTAAAAAATCTATATGAATTAAATGAAGTGGCCAATGTATTTTTTTAGTTATAAAATAGCTATAAATCTTCATTAGTGGAAAATATACATCATATGAAACATTCTTTTAAAAAAGCTTCACAGATTTTTGGTTCATAGCATTTCTTTTCATCTATAAAATTTTAAAGCTGCGACTGATGTTTCTTATTTTTGGTTTTCTTTTTTAACTCCTTGTTTCTTCTATCCCTAATATAGGAAGAGTGCAAGGAATTTCAACTTGCCTATGTGCAAAGCTGCAGAAACCACAGTGGTAGAGGTAAGAGAACAAGAGGTTATTTTTCATTTCCATATTAATTTTTAACTTGATCTCTTGTATTAATGTACAACAGCCCTTTTGTTTTCTGGGGGCAAAGTTTTTCTGTTAAGTGCAGTTTCATTTTTGATATGGAAGGATTCTATTAAACATATAATAGTTGAAATTTTGCTGTTACAACAGCTTTCTGGTTACTTAGGGCCTCAAAAGAATGTTCTCTTTGAGAATCCAGCCATGGTACCAGCTTTTGGTGCTTAAATAAGATAAACTTTATTTGGATAAGTTGAAGTTTCATATACAAAATCCCGGGAAAATAGTAAATTAAGCCAGGAGAAGTGTATTATCTCACTGTGTAAGCTATTGTAAATACTTTGGAAGGTAGTATAGGTAACTGCTTTGATGTGGCTCTATTTGGAGCAATTGAATAAAAGCACCAACTGACTCTCTTTTGGGTTTGGAGGAAGCTTGAATAGTTCTAGAGCCTTCCCAGGGTTAAGGATTTGGGATAGAAATACATGCTTATACCAAAAACTTCTCATTTGACTGTGTATAGTTGAACCCCAAGGGCAATATCAAAATTGTTCTCAACTTGAGGCTTTAAGGATCATCTTGGAACCAAATTTTCATGAGTTTGAAATCACTTTCCCTTGGGAGGGCTTTATAAGACTTCTTAGGATATGGATGAGAACATATATTCCTGATTTTAAGCATGATGGTAGAGTTGCATGTGGCATTTTTTGATTCATCCATACCCATGGTCAAAGATGGTATTTCATGGAGGCAGTTCTGTACATTGACATTTTTGCAACAATCAAAAGTTCAAGTTCTGTTCTTTTATCAAAATGTAAAATGCATTGTTTTTAAAGTGTGGAGGGATGTAGTCCTTTCAGTCGAGGCATGGTGGGTTCTTTTTGCAACAGCATTAGTATATTTTCTGTATTGAAAATAAATAATGTGATTTACTCTCTCTGTAATCAGTTTTTTTTTTTTTTAATTTGTTAAATCATCTTAATGATGTGTTAGCACACACCTATAACATTCCTGAAGAAAGGTCTATAGCTTAAAACAATCTGTAGCTTAATAGAAGGGCTGTGTATGCCCATGTTGACAGCTCAGGGGGCAGTAGTGCATGGAGGGAAGGATATAGGGAAGAGGTAACTAAGGGGAGGAAGTGGGAGGGGAGCTGTTGCATTGTGGTAAATTGTAGTCTGTGTCATGAGACAAAGAGTATGTGAGCTGCTGTATGGAAAGTGAATTTGCTCTGTAAACTTTCATCCAAATTGCAATAAAAAAAATAATCTGTAGTTTAACACTCAGTTGATTTCATGTAATTTTGTAAAACTATAAGAAACCAATATTTCTTCCAGGTGAAGTCCTTCCCCCCCACCCCTTTTATCCTTATTATCATCTTGTTCTTTCAGCCAATTTAATTTCTTACAAGAGTTAGAAAATGACCCTCTAGTGTCTGAGAATCAGTATAGATATTACAAAAGAGAAGTTCTCTTTTGGTATAAGGGGAGATAAAATCCTTTACCAGAATCTGCAAATATGGTGAAGGCTGTACTCCCCTGCCCTGGAACAGACATCTCTAATCCCTCATAGCACTGTTTACGATGGGCCCAGACTCACTTTACGATCCCTTTCAATATGGTGCTGCAGACTGCCACTCCCAATTGGTCATAGTTGCAATGTCCAGTGTGGCCCCAAGCCACATGTGTCTAGTCATTTAAATGAATTACAATTAAATAAATTAGAAATTCAGTTCCTCAGTCATACTAGCCACATATCAAGTTCTCACTGCCCACATGTGTTAATGGTTACTGTGGCTGGCTACTGTGTTGGTCAGTGCATATATAGAACCTTGCTATCATTAGAACTTTGTTATTGTTGAAGAAGGGAGCTCTGGTAGCATAGTGCCTAAGGCATTTGACTGCTAACCAGAAGGCTGGTGGTTCAAACCCACCAGCCACTCCTTGAAGCAAGATGGGGCAATCTACTTCCGTAGTGATGGTGCCTTGGAAACCCAAGGTGGGGTTGCTATGAGTCGGGTCTGACTTGACAGCACGTAATCACAACAACATCATTGAAGAATGTTTTACTAGATAGAACTGGATTAGAAGAACCAAGGTGAAAACCATTTTTCTTTCCAGTTTAGGAACATAAGCAAGTCAGCGACTTCAATTATAGGATTATTGTCAGCCTGCCTTCTTGGCTTCTCTTTTTGCTGTGTTTTTGCAGGGTGGCTTGCTCATAGTAGAAGGGAGCCTGCATGCTCGTAGATTGAGTAGGAACTGTGTGCTCAAAAGTAGAAAATAATTTGAAATTGGGGGTAGTGCCTAGATTTGGTGTTTTCTTATGTGGAAATTCTATTTTGACTTTATGATTTCTGTATTACTCTGAATCTAGTGAGTACCTTGGACAGCCCCATGGTTTTGGGTACATTGCACTTCCCTTACACTGATCCTTCTCCATCCCTGTCCTAACCTTCTTTTACTGTGGTCCTAGTGGATGGGTGATTGAGCTGGACTCTGAAGTCTAGTATTTAAGAGGAACTTTCAGAAATAATTAAATTACCTGTATATTCTTGTGCCTACTAAATAGTAACAATAATAATAGTTATAATTAATTAGGGAGTTCTGGTGGCTCAATAAGGAGCTCTGGTGTCACAGTGCCTAAGGCATTTGCTTGCTAACTAGAAGTTGGTGGTTCAAACTCACCAGCCAATCCATGTAAGGAAGAGTGTGCAATCTACTTTCCTAAAAATTTACTGCCTTGGCACCATGCGATCCTCAAACTATAACTATGAGACCAGAAGAACTAGATGGTGCCCAGCTACCACTGTCAACCACTTAGAGGAGGATCTATGTAGGAAATCCTGGATAGAGTGGGAGAACAATGTGGAACAAAATTCAAAATCATAAAAAAAAAGGGACCAGGTTTGCTGGTCTGATAGAGCCTGG